CTGCGCAAAACCCGACACCATAGCCGTCCATGCAACCAAATCTTTCACAGGCAATCTCTCAAACAGCTCAGCAGCTGCCATCATATCTCCAGCCTTCGAATACGCGACGATCAACGAAGTCCACGAAATCACGTCCCTATCAGGCATTTCATCGAACACCTTTCGACCACTATCCAACCAGCCACATTCTACATACATATCAATTAAAGTATTATGAACAAACAAATCCTTACAGAACCCACCAAGCTTTGTGCCCTGACAATGAATCTGTCTACCTAAATTCAACTCAAGTTCATCGCTACAACCCTTGAGCAAAGCCGTCAAAGTAAAAGAAACAGGGGATATATTTTCCCTTCTCATAGCACTATACAAACGCACTGCCTCTTTCAATGGTCCTTGAATACAATAACCCCGAATTAAAGAGGTCCATAGAAAAGGGTTACGGTATTCCACTTGATGAAATACAAGACGGGGATATGGGTCCATTGGGACATTGATTTTTGTGAGCATACGGAGTAGCTTTGCGAGAACATAACAGCATTGGTCAAGACTTTTGCGAATAACGTGAGCATGAACTTGTTTGATTTGAATTAGGCTGCTACAGTGGTCGAGAAGTGAAACCAGATGGGATTCTAAGAGCTTTGTCTCTTGAAGACGGGAAAATGGGACGAAGGGCTGCGAAGCTTCTGGGTTTCCGAGCTCGTAGCTTATGGGTCTTGGGATAGGGTTCCTCGGTGCGATCAGCTTCCGAGCTAGAGAAACCATTACATGCAAAGCTAAGGTCTACAGTTGAGACCAGAAGGACGATGGAAAGCTAACACTGTATTGTATTGTATCCTACTGTTTTATGAATATAACTAGTGAATTTGCCGCGCGCGGTTATTTTGTAAAAAATATTAATGAATTTATGAGATAATTTTTTTTAAAAGTGAATTGAGGTAGAAGAAAGAAAAACCATGAGAATTATTGGTCTTACCTATAAATATCATATTAATGTCTATTAAAATTATAATAACAATAATGTAGGCAAGTAAAATTGCATCTTTTTTGTTATAAAAATTCGATAAAACTCAATTGCTCGTTGTACATCATCAGTGTTTCACTATTCATACTCCTAAAATTTTAACAAATGTGCTTTGGAAAAGATTTGAAAGTCTTCTCATTTTAGGAGAAGATAAATTAAAAAGAAAAATATTTTCTACTAATTTTAGAACTCTATTAAAGGCTTTTAGAGACTTTAGAATCCTTTTTTAATACTTTCCTATTATAGTAGATATATTTGGTTATATTTTTTAAAAAGTATGTCTTTTTTCTATATTTTGATAAGTATTTGAGTAAAGGATACTTTGGTGTGCATTTAGTGTTTATTTGATTGTATTCCTAGAAGATCAATTTCTTAAAAATATATGTATATAAGACGTGATTTATATTTCCTCCATTATAGAGTGAGAGTTTTATTTCCAATTTTCCCTTCTTTATTTTCTTTTTCTCCCTCCTCCCCCCCCCCCCCCCCCCTTACACGATTCTTCTTTTCCTTTCCCTCTTCTTTTCTTACTCATTTCTTCCTTCTCTTTGATTCTTTCGTTCTTATTGGACCTCTTTGTTATTGTACTCCAGATATTTAACATTTGTTATTCCTTCTAAAATAATTAAATTTATTCTTCTTTTTCCTCCTGCTAATTTTCGGAAAAAAATCTGAAAAATACATTTTTTCCCTCAAATAGTTTTTGCTTTCCTTTTTATACTCTCTTCATTATTTCATATATAGTCATCTTTGCTCCCATCAATTTTCGTCAATAAGTACCTCCTTTTTTTTAATTGTAGAACCCAGTAAGTAAAAAAATATTGTGAATCAGAATCCGTGAGTTAAAAAGTCTTACACTATATCTGAATACAAACAAAACAAAATTTTGTTGGATAAGTATTATACAAATAGTAAATTTCTTTTTTAAAAATTGCATTATCAATTACGACTATGAATAGGTATAAGAGGACAAAATAGGCAAGATGTACTTCATGTTCATCATGTACTAAAAAGAAAGAGAAATATTTCTCCACAAAGGCACAACCAAATTGATCAGAATTCATAACAATAAAAATGTTCAAATAAAAATTGCCCTAAACACCGTCTTACTTTAAAATTTATTTTATAAAGGCAAATACTTCAACCCC